TGTGGTGCTGCTCACACGGGGTGGGCAGCCAAGGGCACCGCATTATTTCGGCTCTCGGGACTGGTTCCAGGTTTGGACTGACCCCCGGGCCGGGCAGATCCTGCCACACAGTCGTGTCTTCTCTCCAGGCTGCACAGGCAGAACAGGGCACCCACACCAGACGGCTTCTGGAGAGTCCACTGGGGGAAGCCCTGCTGAGACCCGGGTCCGCTGTGGTCACAGCTGCGACCGACGCAGGAAGTACACGGCAGGGGCACCTGGGCGCAGCTGGGCAGCACTGTGGGTCGTCAGGACGGTGGGAGCCAGGCCTACAGGTGGCAGCTGTGGGGGGCACAGGCCCTCCCTGAACATCACTGCTGTGCTGTCTCTGGCCTCTGGGCGCCGGCCACACCTGCTGCCAGGCGGACACCTGCTGCTGTGGTCCTCGTGCTGACCACAGCCCCACGTCACAGAGGCCACCAGTTCATGTGGCGGAACCGGTCGCGCACGTCTGCTCTCACGCCTGTAAGGACTCGCATTTCTCACCTTCCTGGGATGCTGCGCAGGGGGAAGCAGTAACAGCTCGTCCTCTAGCTGACCGCCACCTTGCAGGCACCCAGAGCAGGTCCTGGGAGACCAGACACCGTGCTGAAATTAGCTGCGCTAACTGGGCTGCTGGTGAGACCAACGGGCTGGTTGCTGGCCTAGAAACGGCTGCCGCAGGCCCCACTGCCAGGCTCCTACCACGCGGGCGGGCCGGTGGGCAGTGTGGGCCGGGCCTCTGGGGGACGCGGCAGGCATAGTGAGACTGCGGCAGGAAGTCAAAGACTGGTGCGTGTGGGGTGCCCTGATCCCTTCTGGGTGGGACCCTGAAGAGGGCCCGGGGAGGAGGGGGGAGGAAACACCCCCACCAGACAGGGACCCGCCGTCTAGTGTCGTCCCCGATACCACCGTGACCTGTGGGTTCTCTACTGGTAGAGGCCAGAGCTGGGGCTGGTCTCCATCACTGGGCCACTGATGCACAGGCATGTTGGCAACTCTGGGCCATGGGCACACTCGGGTCCTGAGACCAGGCTCCTCAGAGAGCAAGACACGGCTCTGGGCAGATGGCCGGCCTGCACGTGGGCACCATGAGGCCCGAGGCGAGACCGCCGAGTGCCAGTGTGCGGCTCTGCCTCAGACTTCTGGGGGGTCAGACCCCTCCACAACCCTCCCAAGGCCACAGACACGTCCTAAGGGGGTGAGACCACAGGACAAGCGGTCAACGCTGCAGGGCCTGGGCTGGCAGGGGGAAGGCCTGTCAACGTTCTGTCCCAGGGGAGGGCATGGGACCCATGGGCTTACAACAGGCACGGCGACGGTGGCCCTGGCAGCCCCACGGGGACATGCCGACTTGTTTCCTGCCCCGGGGATGACTGGCAGTGGTAAATACCAGGACTGGAAAGCCAGCACAGAGCCTCTGATTTTACCCTGTTAAGCAGAGCTCACGGAACACCGGCCTGTACGTAACCTCTGCAAGCTCGGAAGCGACAGTCGTAAATAACAGGCTCGCTCAGACTGTTCTGCGCAAACCTAGAAGACGCGGTTCCGGGGAAGCCACGGGCAGCAGGGTGGATGTCATCTGCAACACCTCTTGAGTCCGTCTCAGGGAAGCGGCTCATTCTGGCAGCTCTGTGGCCAGGGACCCAATGCCAGGCCCTCGTCTGCAGCTGACCCAAGTCCTCGAGGTGTCTTTCAGGGCAAAGCGAGAGACTAGTAAAGCAGTTTCTTTTTTTAAAATCTGTATCTATTTTAAGTTTACTTATTTACTTTGAGAGAGTGAGCTGGCAAGCAAGGAGGGGAGGGGCAGAGAGGGAGTGGGAGAGAGAATCCCAAGTAGGCTCCACACTGGCAGCACGGAGCTGGACGTAGGGTTCAAACTCATAAACCGTGAGATTGGGGCCTGAACCGAAACCAAAAGTCACATGCTTAGCCCACTGAGCCACCCAGGCGCCCAACAGTAAAGCAGTTTCTGAATGTCAAGCAAAGTCAGGGTAGTTGTCTAAAACAGACAAATCTGCCGAGCTGCAGGTGATCCCATCTCGGGAAGGCCCGTGGAGGGGAGCCTGTGATACATGGTGGGTGCAGGGGAGGCCTGCCGTGTCACTGGCTCAGGCCGCCCACTGTCCCATTTTGCACCGGCCCCACAGGCCCCCCTGGGTGTCAGAGCTGTCTCCCCTCCCGCGGACGCTTACTCTGAGACGAGGTCAAGTAACTTTGCCCGGTCACCTGTGGAGTGAAGGGGCATCTCAGAGCTGGCCCAGCACCATCCTCTCCGCCAGGGCCAGCAGCCAAGGCCAGACCCAGGGGACAAGTCCTTGGGAGAGGATCCTGCCGTGCTGAGACCCCCTGCGTGTGGTTCACATCACCTCATCCCTGCTGAGAGACGGAACGTGGGCAGGTGCCACCTACTGGCTCAGGCCTCCCGCTACCAGACAGGACTGGAGGGTGCCAGTGGCCTGGACGTGTGGCCCCCAAGTGTGGGGACAGGCACAGCAGCTTGCAGACAGTGGGGCCTAGGTCTACCACTTGCGCAGGCTCAGGATACTTTGGCATGCGGCTGGTTCTGGTCTGACTGCACCTACAGGCTGCGTGGGGTCACTGCTTGATGAGGCTAGTGCCATTTGGGGGGGTCCCACCCAGTGCATCATCAGCAAGTGTATTGGTCTGCACCCCCAGAGACACGCACCATAAAGAGGGGGGGATGTGTGCATTGGGCCACCGGGCCATCTGGGCATCTGGTGCGTAGGGGCACAGGCTGCTCTGAGGGCTGGCCGCGCTGCAGCGACTGCTGGCCTGACCCCAGTTCCAGCCAACAGGGGTGGTGGCACCACAGCAGCAGTGTGGATGCAGGCACGCGTTCAGGGCTGGGGCTGAACGGAGGGCCCCTTGCGCTCTATGCTTAGCAGCTGACACCCCCCACACAGCTCCTGAAGCAGGCACAGACCTCTGCCCCTGCACTGGGAGCCACCCCACGCGGGGACAGTGGCCCGATGGCCAAGTCAACAAGGTGTGCCTCTGGTAATTGCGGTGCCAGGTGATCGCGCCCACCACTGAAGGCGGTGTTATGCCAGAGGCCTTTTAGAAACAGCTTCGGGGCCCAGTTCTTCCTCCCAGAGCAAAAGGAGGAGACACCTCAGGGGACGTCACTCTGCTCCCTCCCCCCGCAGGCCTCACCCCAAAGGCGAGGATGTCTAGCAGCCAGGGCAGCTCCCCGAGCAGCATGTGGACAGTGGCCTGGAGGCAGAGGACGCAGGTCTCCAAAGCCCAGCTGACAGACAGATGGTGTCCGTGAATACGTAGGGGGGCAGTGAGGGCAAAGTGAGGCTGTGCACTGTGTGAGGGGTGCCCTACACAAACCGTCCATGCCGGAGAAGAGTCTGGGGGCAGAGAAGGCTGTCGTTGTGCCCCTGCAAGATTCTCTGGCCACACGCACGGTGTAGGTGTCAAGGCCGCAACGCATCAGGGAGCCATTCAGAGAGAAGCCAGGCCCACGCAATGGGGATGGAGCCCACACAGGCTGTCTGCTGCCCTGGGGCCATGTGGAGAGGGGGTGGTCACAGGTCGGGCCAGCCGGGCAGTTGCATCTGATGCTGTGCAGGCGGGTGTTCAGAAGGGTGTGGGTGGGGGGCAGCTCACAGGCAAGTCCCCACCAAATGTGGAGGTGCAGGGTGGGCGCAGAATCCCCAGGAGGGGAAGAGTCAGCACAGGCGCCTGGTGTTCTGGGACCATCCAGGACGCCGTTACGCCGTCTATCTGCAGCAAGTCGTGGCACCCAGGAAGCCGTCTGGTCCTCCTGAGGACTCCCGAGTGCAGGAACTGTGGCCGAAGCCCCACAAAGCTGCCTGGGGAGGAGACCTAAGACCTAGGGGTGGATGTGATGCTAGCCATTTACCGGTCTCGTGACCACAGACACCCCTCAGCCACAGGCACACGGTGGAAGGCAGCGGGAGGCACAGCACTCGGGGCGACAGTGGCCGCCAGCCTCCCAGTGTCCTGAGTCAGTCACTTGTAGCACTACTTTATGAACGTGCTCAGGGCCCTTATTGCCTCTAGGACCCACCCAGCTCTCCAGCCTGGTAGAGGTACCTGTCACCTACTTTACATCCAGGGTGAAACCACACAGAGAGCACAAGCAGAACCCCCAGGATAACGCCATCCTGGTGCATCCTGGTGATCAGCTACAAAACCCTAGTGGTTATAAAATAAACACTACCCTTAATGGAAAAGGCCAACGGTTGCACCACATACTGGAAGGTTTCACCAGGACGGAGCTCCTGAAGCTCACATCCACGCCTGTCTCGCCATCACTGATCCAGGACCATGTCTTCGCTGGTCCCCGGGCGTCGGCATCAAAGCCGGAGCATCTCTGGGGATCCAGCCAGGCGGCAAACCTGGTCCCTGCGAACAGTCACGCCGGCTCACCGACCAACGCCGCCCACGGCCCCCCAGAGGGGTACGAACGGGCCGGGGCTGAGAGACCAGCTCTCCCTGGGAGCACTTGTTAGGAGCACAGCGTCCTCAGCCCCTCACCGCTTCCCCGCCTCCGATCCTCCAGGCACAGAACCTGAGGGCAAACAGATGTGCCCTGAGCACTTTCCCCAGGCCCGAGGCGGCTGCTCATCCAAACCTCTACAAACATAAAAACAATTCTTCGCTCAGAGGCCGTACAAAACCCTGCTCTTTTGGGACGAAGAGAAGGGACGAAAGCTGGAGGCGGAAGGGGACGCCATATGTCTGTGGTCCTGCCTTCGCTGCGGAGGCTTCGCTGAGCGGCCCCGGCTGCCCAGAATGGGGGTCTCGGTCTGTGTCCCCGCGGCCACCCAGGATCTGCCCCGGAAGGCTGGCCGGGCCCCATCCTCGCCGTGCGGGTGCGCCCTCCAGGCTCTCGGGGGACCGCCTGGCACGGGCCCGACTTCCCTGTAGCCTCCCGCCCCACCGAACCAAACCCACCGGGCGCCAACTTTCCACCCGCCCGGGTACTTCCGCCTTGGGAGGTCGCTTCCTGTTAGGTGCCGGAAGGGGCGGGTCACCGGAGCGTGGGGGAGGAGTCTAGAGCTACGGCACGCAAGACGCAAACAACCTGGAGCCTGGCGGCGACGGCGGCGGCCTGGAGCCGAGGCCGGGCGAGGTGTCAGGGGTCCGACTTTCGGATTTTTTTCCCTGGAGCCGCGTTTCCAACGTGGAATTCCTCGGCCGGAAGGGTTTTCCAGGCCTGTGTTAACCCTAACTCGGCCAGTGGATGAACGAGTTGGGCTGTGGAACCCCGTGTAAACCGGGGCGTTGTTAGAGACAGAAGACGGCGCCTGGCGAGGACTCCCCTCAGGTCTCCTCCCGTCTCTTCTCCAGCATCTCCCCATTCAGGTCCCTCCCTCGCCCGCCTCCGGTCTCCTCTCCAGCATCTCATCACTCAGGATCCCCCCAGGTGCCCCCTCGGCGTGTCCCCACTCGGGTGCCCCCCCGCCCCAGGTGTCCTCTCCAGCGGCCCCGTTTTCAGCCGCCCCCCCCATGTCTCCCTTCAGCATCTCCTCAGGTCTCCCCCCCAGGACTCCTCACCAGCGTCTCCCCCTAGGTTCCTTGCCCTGGGTCACCACCCTCAGCCCTCCCCACCCCATATTGTCCCTTTGCAAAGCAGCGGAAGCTCTTCCAGGCTAAAGGAGTGTTGTATACATCTGAGCAGGCTACGTACTTACTGTTCAAAAGGAATCTTCGGAAGGTCTGTTAGAGCTTGACATCAGGGGCTTAGGTGTACAAAAGTCCCAGGCTGGAAAGATGGGTGACAGTAGGCACAGGTGGTCTTCCAGTGGGACTCGGTCCAAGGACTTCAGGCTATGTCCCCAGTGGCGTCGTGGCTCTGGACCCTGATGATGGAAGGCGTGATGGCAGGTTTGTAGGCGAGTGGGGAGGGGTGGCCTGGAGACAGACCGCAGCCTAGTTGAGGCACGGGAAGAGAGCTGTGACGTCTGGCATTCCCGCGAAGCCTGGTGTCCCACGTCTGTTCTGGCCCCACCGCTGTCTGTGCCACATTTGTGCTACTGGGTCGCTACGGGGTCGGTTGCTCAGGGTGGCCCTACCACTGCCCTATCCTGCTGGGCCTCTGAGTTCCGGCCTTAAGACTACTTCTCATCCCTTCCTGTTGGCCGTGTGCTCGTGCGTTCCCTCCTTGCCTCCCCGAGTCCTCTGGACCCGGGCCTGCGTGGGGTGTGGGGTGTGCAGGTGGGAACCTTGTCTAGCCGGTTGCAAACAAACCAGCGGCAGCACACTCTGCGGAACCCGGAGGACCCCCAGTAGAACCTTGGGCCAAGGTTCCGCGGGGCTGGACGTTGGGGGGAAGACCTTGTCAGGACAGAATTTGATTATACATCTAACAGCACCCCAAAAAGGCACTAGTCAGGATCTTTCCATGACATCCATTTATCTTGGAAAACAGAAGCCCGGTGACTCTCCGCGGCGGATGGAATAAGGCACCAGGCGGCCGCATCATCCGTCAGCAGGCTGGGCCCTGTGCGCGCCCCTGTCCGGTCCTCGCCGCTAGGTGGCGCCGCAGGTGCGCGTGAGTGCCATCCCTGGTTCCCAGTCTCAGGGCCCCTTAACTATCTTCACCGTTGTTGAACTTCTGTCATGTGGTGCTGTATAGGGAGGGGCATATACTGTGTTAGAAGTGGAAACAAATTTGTTGCGCATACTTTTTTTTTTACTTAAAACAAACAATGATAGGAGCGCCTGGGCGGCTCAGTTGGTTAAGTGTCCGACTTCAGCTCAGGTCATGGTCTCAAGGTTCCTAAATTTGAGTCTCACATCGGGCTCTGCACTGACGGTGCGGAGCCTGCCTGGTATTCTCCCCCTCTATCTGTAAATAAATAAATAAACTTAAAAAAAAGCCCCAATAATAAAACCCACTACACATGAGCACTCCTTTTTAAGAAAAAGCAGTATTGTACCCAAACAAATTTACAGGTATGTTTTACATTTAGGCCGATCCCTTGAAGGCAGAGCTGTGCTCTCCACTCTCCTTTTGCCCTCGTCCCTACCAACATCACCATCGGGTAGCCTCTGGAGCACGCTGCTGGGCCCTTTCAAGAGAACGGGTGTGAAAGGCCGTTCTTGGGGCGCTCGGTGGCTCAGTGAGACATCTGACTTTGGCTCAGCTCATGACCTGGCTGTTCGTGAGTTTGAGCCCCGCAGAGCCCCACACAGGGCTCTCTGCAGGCAGCACAGATCCCGCTTGGGATCCTCTGTCCCCCTGTCTCTCTGCCCTTCCCTCACTCATGCTGTTTCTCTCAAGAATAAATAAACATTAAAAAAAAAAAAACAACCAGGCAAGTTCTTAGCAGTCCCCACAGCCCTGCAACTACCCTGAGAAGCAGACACAGCTGTCAGCTGCCTCGTGTCCTTTTTGGTATTCTGTCTGCATTGATTTGCTGCATTTTCATTTTATTTATTTATTTATTTATTTTATTTCCTTTTATTTATTTTTTTTGTCAAAGAGCAGGAGGACCAGATGTAAAATATTTAATATGCTTTTATGGGGAGAAATGAACTTGCAGCAGTCTGATTTGTAATCAAGGTTACTCTGTACATTAAGGAGCTGCCCCTTTCACTCCTGCCGAGGCCCGGATTATTTGAGATTCCCAGAAGTCACCGTCTCAAGAAACCCCGAGAAGGATGGCAAGTGAGTGGGGCTCTTGTGGGAGTGGCCCCCAAGTACTGCAGAGACTTAGTGGGGGGACCATGCATATGTCTGTGTCAGGGACTTTGCAGATCAGTCGCGAAGGGCAAGGGCCTTGTTCGTTTCGGGGGGTCTGTGGAAAGACTGAGCTGGTGTGGTTCTGGGAGTCTTGCTAGTTTTTAAAAATAGACTTCCCTTTTTTTTTTCTCTTCCTTTGGAGGGGGCAGCATGCGCACATGCACGAGCTGGGGCGGGGCAGAGAGAGAGAATCCTAGGCAGGTTCTGTGTTCAGTGTGGAGCCCGATGCGGGGCTCGATCTCATGAACCGTGAGGTCATGACCTGGGCTGAAATCAAGAGTCCGGCACTTAACCGACTGAGCCCCTCGAGCGCCCCCAGACTTCCTTTTTTAGAGAAGTTTTAGGTTTCCAAGAAAACAGAGCAGAAAGGGCAGAGCTCCCCTGTGCTCGTCGGCCCGTGCAGAATGTCCTGCTGATGACCTCTCGCATCAGTGTGGTGTGCCTGTCACAGTTACTGAGCTGTCCCTGGCACAGTGTTGCAGACTGAGGCTGGCACTCTAAGCACACGTCCTGAGCTGTTACCTGGTATCCTCTGTCCTGGGACCCAATGGCGTTTGATCATCCTGTCCCCTTGGGCTCCTCTGAGCTGGGACAAAAGTGATAGTGTCTCAGACTTTTCTTAGTTTTGATGGCCTTGACCATCTGAGGTGTGTCGGTCAGGAATTTTTTTGGATGCTTCTCCCTTGGGGTTTGTTAGATGTTTTTTTCCTCATGGGTAGGTGGGGACATGGCAACTGCTTCTCGCACCATGACCTTTCTGTAGGTCCCATTTCCCTCCCTTGAGACGGAGAGGGCCTGGGGACTGGGGAACAGAGTGGAGAGGGAGAGGGAGGAGGGGCCGAGCGTGTGAAGGGATAGCAGCCCTTGGCTGGGGGAGCCCGTGGTGTCCCAGAAGCGGCCAGAAAACAGAGCCAAGGGAAATGGGGGCCCGACGTTCTTGAACACCTGGTGAGAGCAGCCGGTGGGAGCACCTGGTGAGAGCACCTGGCAGGGAGCACTTGGCAGGGAGCTGTGCGGCTCCTTCTAGCTGGGGGCCTCAGGGGGGAGCAGAGGGTCCGCTTTGGCCAGGGGCTGTTCGGTCGCTGGCGGCCGGGCTCTGCCCAGGGAGCATGCGTCTTCCAGCTTCAGCCCGTGGGTCTGCAGGGATCCCGCAGGCACCCTGGCCAGCCTGCCGGCTCCCTGTCGGGCGTGCTCCTCAGGTCGGCTAAGGGAGGGGCGTGTGTTCAGGACGGCGTCTCCCACCATCTCCTTTTGTTTTTTCTGGGGGCTTCACTGTGGCGATGGGAGTTTCTTAGGGCTTCGAGGTGCTGCTTTTACCTGTGTTGCCCCTCAGCGCCCAGGTGAGACTTTGAGGCCCCCGATTCTGCTGGTGCAGCCAGTATGTGGAGGGCGGCTCGGGCCGGGAAAGGCAGCCCTGCTCCCGGCCCAGGCTGCTTGTGGGTGACCTGCTTCTGCTGAGAGCTGAGCTCCACGGGGAGCCGGTGGGGGTGGAAAGTCACGTGGGTGTGCGCACAGCCGGACGCAGTGGCGTGCATAGGAGCCTGGAAGGGTCAGGCTGGACTGGGTAGGGGGGAAGGCGCCGGAAGACCAGAACCCATTCTGGGACGTCCCCTTCACCCTCCCAGTGCTTTGGTGGGGGAGCCGCCTGGAGCCCCATGGCCGTCTGGATCTGACACATCGCTGCTCTGGTGACACCTGCTTTGTGGTGAAGGTTGCTTCCTGCTTTAAAAAAGTACGTCTGGCTCCAGTCACCCCCGATGCGCCTTCAGCTGAGTAACAATCTAGGCTCTTGGCTTTTGATGTTCTCAGCGAGCTTCTGGACACAGGCTGATGGACGGACGACAGCTTTACACACCTCTCTGCAGGACCCGTGACTGAGGCAGCCGTGCGTGGAGCCGGCAAGATGTGACTGCTGGTTCTAGCCGCTTCTGGTGAGAGCGTTTCTTGGCCCTTCACCCGTAGCTTCTTCCAGACCCTCGGCCTGTCTGCTCCTCTCAGCCTGGAGCCCCCGAGTTGTGACATCGTCTAGCATTTAAAGCAGAGACAGAACCAACTCTGCTCCCCAGGAATTGAACTTTTGTGGTTTGTCTTCAGAAAAGCAAACCACATGCTGAGTTGGACTCACGTGGACTGCTTTAGCTGTGGGTGAATAGCCAGAGCTTCCCCCCTTCCTTCTTCCCCAGTGGGGGCTGGCGGAGCTTTTGCTGTACGTGACCCGGGCCACCCCATTTTACTGCCGAAGAGCTCAGAGTTGTCTGTGTCAAAAACAGAGAAGTAAGGAAAAGAGAAGCAGGACGGCTCCCTGCTAACCAGGCACCCGTGAGCCTTCCGGGCCCTGGGAGGTAGGCTCGCAAATGTTCTGGTGTCTCGGGGACAGGTCTGGTGTTTATTGTGGAGAAAGACTGCCGGGTCCGCGCTGTGGTGGTGTCCTTTCCTAGGCGTATGGCTTTAGTTTCTGGATGCCCCGGTTGCCTCATTTGTGAACTAGGGTTAATGATCTCCACTCCCGAGCGTGCCAAGATGAGATACGCTAACAGACAGGTAGCTTAACCATAGGTTGATGGTTAGTGCCACGGAAGCGTCAGCCTGAGACGACGCGAGTGGTGATGTTGGTGACGACAGCGATGCTGGTGGTGATGATGGGCCTCACAGCCTTGGCTGCACCCTGTCTGGGAGCTACTGCTAACGGCCAGGACCCAGCCTGAGGATTCTGACCCCCACCTCTTAAGCCCAGAGGACCCGTTCTAGCTCTCTTCTTTCCGACCACTTGAGGAGAATGTATTCTTCTTGTTCCAACTGGAAGAAACGCTGATGTGTCGGGGCAGGCGCTTCAACTTGTGTTACTGTCACAGCAATCGATCAGGCGCCCTGAACACAACCGTGGTTTGGCTGAAAGAGTCGACCGTGGGGCGGCGGGGTGCTGGGCGTAGAGGAGAAGGGCAGCGGACACGAGCACAGTGCTTATCTAAGCCGCTCAGTACCGTCCGTATCACCAGGGCTCCAGGAAGCGATTAGCTGAATGGTTTCCGTCAGAGGATGTTTTTGTGACCTCTCCTGACTCAGGGCGGCCCGGACCGTGAGGCCCTGGCCTGGCTGGCGGAACACGGGAGGCTGTGGCATATCCGGCCCCCTCTCCTTCCTAAGCTCTGTCACTGGCTTCCTGGAGCGAGGACCCGACGTGGTCCCTCTCCTCTGCTCCACAGTGGGCTCAGGGCTGCCGTGGGGGCCACACTCTTCTCCTGGCTCGTTCTGCATTGGGTGTTCTAAACATCCTCACTCGGGAGATCGAGTGGCTCTTAAAAGATCTGCCGTGGCCCGGTCTTAGAGGAAAGAACAGACAGAGTCCACACAGCAGTGACTCCCGTTGGCCCAGGAGGACTGGTTATAGCTGGGTGATGGGGCGAATGCGCCATGGTTAGAGGCCTTGAAGGGAGCGGGAGATGGCACTCCAAAACACGCCACCTTGGCCTGAGGGTTATTTTGAGCTGAAGATAATTGAGACTCAGACGCAGAAAAAAATCCTTGTCGGAGCCTCCCCTATCTGACTACCAGAAGCAACTTCTGGGAAGTCAGGCTGCCACCAAGTCGTTCTTTAGGGCAGGTCTACTCCCAAAGGGGATCCCACGGATGAACCTATCCCAAGTCTCTTCTCCGGGGGTTTTATGGCCCTGAAAGGGCCTAAGAGGCCACTTACACCTGTAGAGACAAGTGGTATCACAAACTTCCTTACATCTCACTTATTCTCCTGAAACACATTTGTCTTTCCTAAAGAAGTCTGTTTGTTCCAACTTTAAGAAGGATCTTTCTCCCCTCCCCCTCTCCCCTACCAAGTTCGATATATAAACTTCTAATTGAAACTACTGAACCAACTGTTTGTCTCGGCCCCCATGGGCGCATGACTAAACTATTTTCTTTTGTTAATCCGTTGTTTGTCAGTTTAATTCACAGGCCCCACGCACATAACATCAGAGGGGCTCCTGCAGCCTTCTTGACAGAGGCTCCCCAGCTTGGCCAGTCGTGGGGGTGGGGCGAGGGAATGCGGGTGGAAAGGGGGGTGGGGGATGGGTGCTGGGACCGAGGACCCCCACACCCTCCATCTGCCTTTCTTTCCCCCATGTGTGACATCACGCTCACAAAACTCAGCAGAATGAGTGGATAGGTCAAGATCGCTCATCATGTCCTTGGCAGACATTGTCACGTTGTGAAGGTGAGTGGGAGAAGAAGGCCCGGTTGGAGGCAGGCGGGGGCCCCCCGGAGCAGGCCAGGATACGCGCCTCTCCAGGGTGGGCGGCTCATCGCAGTCTCGGGTGGCTAGTGGATATTGGAAAGTTCCAAAAAATGTTTAGTTTTCCCCGGTGTTTTGTTTCAATCGGGTTCAAAATGTCCCACGTGAGAAACGAAAGGGGGATTGGCCACACGGCCCCACCGCACCCCGCGTGCGTCCTCTCCGTGGTGCTCGGAGAGAACTGGGAGCCCTTCACTGCCTGGGCCGGGGGGACGCCAGGGGCTCAGCCGGCTCCAGCGCGCTTCCGGCATCAGGACAACCGGGACGGGGCGGCACTGTGTCGAGCGGCCCTCGGAACCCCGGCCCGGACGGGGCTGTGCTCACGCGGCCGGGGGTGTTTACCATCACGGGCTTCACTGCTAGCTTGCGCGTGTGAGCTGTCGCACCCATATTTCCACGTAGGGACAGAGAAGCATGGTTTCTCTATTTTGGGTAGCTCCTTTTAAATCATGCGGTGTTTCAGGGAGAGACACTTTGGAACGTCAGAAATTTAAAATGCAGAGTGCTGTAACACGGCTCTTAGCGCCTCGTGTGCTGAGAGCATGTCTCTTGAGAGTTACGTGGGCCCGGCTTTTGTGGCAATGAATCCCAATCGTCTGTTTGTCGCAGGCAGAAAACAACACGGAGCCCACAGCGCCGGGAGCGGCAGGGCTGGTGGCACGACCTTGAAGCGGGAGAAGGCGTCTTTTGCGTTCGGGACTTGTCACTATTTTAAGCACAATGGTGACATCTGGTATCGCTTACATGTTGTCTCTTTCAAGCGGTAACCGTTTTTCCCTCTGAATGCAGGCAGCGTCTGGTTCCGAAGGCCTTTTCCAGAATTTCTGGTTGCCACGGGCTTTCGTTTGGATGGTTTGGACTGGCTCAAGCCGTCCGCCTGGCCTCTGGGTCACTGCTTACGCTCCGTGCTAGCCGGGACCCCTTTCATCCAGATCTACTGGATGATAATGTCCCTTGATCCAAGATCCTTAACTAGGGATCACCCAGGAGAGAGGCAAAAAGCTGAGCCGGCCCCTCCTGCTGTTTCCAAGCAGCGAGCGAGCCTGCTGCGCCATGTCTGGCCCATCGTCCTGCAGGGTGGGCTGTGCCGGCGGCCCTGCGAGCCTCCCCACCGAGCACCGGGGACCCCCCTGCGCCCAGACCGTGGGACGCCCAGAGCCTCCTACGTTCGGGGGCTCGAGAAAGACCAGCGGAAGCAAAAGGCCCACTTTAAAAAACACACAAAGGGCTTAACGGACATTTTCCGAAAGGAGAGACACAGACGGCCAGCGGGCCCCCGAAAAAAACTCCTCGCAGAACGTGGGTCACAGCCACCCCGAGGTACCGTTTCACACCCACTGTGGTGATGACAAGAAAACGCGAAATAACGAGTTCTGGCGGGACGGGAAACGGCGCGGCCGCTGTGGAAAACGGCGTGGTGGTTCCTCAGCACGTGGAACGTGGAGTCACCGTATGGCCCGCGATCCCGCTCCCGGGTGCACGTCCAAGGCCACCGAGAGCAGGGGTCTGAACGGATCGCCGTACGCCCAGGCTCGTAGCAGGTCTATTCACAGCAGCCAAAGCTTCAGACGACATGAGTGTCTCTAGACGGACAGATGGCTGGGCACACGTGCCCTGTCCACGCAGGGGAGGGGAGAGGGTGGCTGTGGAGGCGGAGCCCAGGACCGGCCTTTCTCCGCAAGGTCTCCGGGGCCAAGAGCTGCCAGCTGGCGTCTCGGAGGAGACCCCCCCCGCCCCCCAGGCCAGGAGGAGGCTCGGGGGCATAAACACAAGCACGTCTTGGCCTCGTGTTCAGTGACAGGGTGTTCAGGGAGCCGCAGGACAGTCTGAAGGCTTCACACGAGGCAGTTCTCCGGGCAGGATGCGGGGCTGCTGGGGCCCTTCCCAGCAGGATCCCCGGAGAACTCCAAGTTCGGTCTCTACATTTTCATTAAGAGCTTCCACCCGGGGAGAATGATGGATTAGATTTTGCTGTTGGAAAGAAGCCAGATAAAATTAGATGCCTCTCGGCTCCCCACCACACACCCCTTGCCCCTGTTCTTTTCTGAAAGCTTTACTTTTCTCTCTCGGTTCCTGGCAGGAAGGAACCGAGCGGGTACGGTCGCTTCCTTGAGCCTCCCTGCTTTAATTTCCAGTGTGATTTCGCTGTTGCTCTAATTTTCTTCTGTTCTGGAACAGCTTTGGGCCTTGGGCTCTGCATTGGGGGGGGTGTGTGCGCGTGTGGTTTCTGTTTTCTTTTCAGGAAGCTTGTTAGAATTTATAGCTGGAAACGGAGAGAATACTCTGCCTCACAAAAGAAATTCACCTGATTCCTCACGTCTTGTCTCTTCTCTCCAAGTTCTCGTTCTTGGCCAAGCTAACCTGCCGTCTCATCCACCTACATAGAATCGGGTTTGCCTCCCAGCCAGCCACTTTGTAGCAAAGCCGGGTTCTGACGGTCTGCTGTCTTCTGTTACCGTGCGCCGACAGTGGATTTCAAGAAGAGCCGTTGTGTTTTCCCAGTGCAGGAAAGGAAACACTCGGGTTCCATCTGTCCAGAGGAGCTGAGAGCGCATGGGTGGCACACCTCCAGGGACAGACTGTGAGGCGGTCGCCGGTTGCAGAGGGTGCTGGAGCCGGGCGTGGGTGCCATTCACGTGGGCGTTGTTTTCTTGAGGTCGAACCCTGTGGAATTTAGCGGAGACCTCGAGCGGATTCGAACAGCCTCAGCCCCCACGTCCTGGGTCTGAAATCAACCGTGTGGGAGGAGCCGCCCCGGCAGAGCTGCGTGCCCGCCGTGCAGCCGTGTACCTGCTCCCGCACCCTGACCAGAACGTTCCCCTTGTGCGTGCAGGCAGCCCACGCTCAGGGGCACGCCACGGTCCGAAGGGCCGGTCATCCAGGACCCGGCGTTCCCAGCGACGAGAGCCTCACGGGTCTCTCCAGGCCTTTTTCTGGGCCGCCAGTGTGGACATGGCAGACACACAGACGCACAGACACGGCCTGAGAGGGTCTTCCTTCCTTCCAGTCCTGCCCTGAGTTCCCGCGCTGTCCCGCAGGGGCACCCCGGGCAGCTGAAAGCAGCTTAATGGACAGTTTTGTTGGTTTGGTGATGCCATCTCATGACGACATTACCCAAATCCCTTGGAACATTTTTGGGACTGTGGATTCAGGGGCCTGGACCAAGGGACTCGGCAAGGGAGGTGTGATCTGCCTGCTGCCCCTCGGGCTTGGGACCGGACCTCAGAGCCACCGTCGGGTCACGGCGGCCATTCCCATGGCTGTGCTGGTGCCCCCTGGGCCAGCGGTGGCCGTGTGCGATTTTGTCAGTCGTTTCCTTCTTTAAAAAAGATTTTTTTTTAATCTTTGAGAGAGAGACAGAGTGTGAGCAGGGGAGGGGCAGAGAGAGGGGGAGACACAGAATCCAAGGCAGGCTCCAGGCCCCGAGCTGTCAGCCCTGAGCCCAACGCGGGGCTCGAACCCACGAACTGTGAGATCATGACCTGAGCCAAAGTCGGACACCGAACCGACTGAGCCACCCAGGCGCCGCTGGTCGGTCGTTTCTGACTCGCCATTGGTGCCGGCTGTAGCGAGGAGGAGCCGGGGTGCCCGCCACGTGCCGCTGGACACCGTGGCCTCTGTGCCCCGGAAGTGTGGCTGGCCCACAGCGAGGGGCTTCGGGGCGGAGACCCACCCGACGGGGAGACTTGGCACAGATCGCGAGACGGCAGGTGAATAACGCGCTATATGCGTTACTTGGCCGGGTGGTAGTGTTTTAGACCGATCCAGTTAGGTGTATCATTCACATTAACTCTGTGTTTCCTTTTCCTTTTACGATATGGGCAGCTCCTGGAAAACTTAACAGCTGAGGGGTGCTCGGCTGGCTCTGTTGGAGGATCGTGCGGCTTTTGATCTCGGGGTTGTGAGTTCCAGCCCCACGCTGGGTGTAGAGATTATTATTAAAAAAAATTTTTTTTAATGTTTTTATTTATTTTTGAGACAGAGGGAGACAGAGTGTGAGCAGGGGAAGGGGCAGAGAGAGGGGGAGACACAGAATCCAAGGCAGGTTCCAGGCCCTGAGCTGTCAGCACGGAGCCTGACGCAGGGCTCGAACCCACGAACTGTGAGATGATGACCTGAGCCAAAGTCGGACACCTAACCGACTGAGCCATCCAGGCGCCCCTAGAGATTATTTAATAAAATCTTAAAAAAAGATAGTTGAGTCTGTGGCTCATATGGTATTTCTTTGGATGGAGCTGTGCCACAGCCGCCTTCTCAGAACACACGTGCACGGACACGCACGCAAGTGAGCACACGCCATCACACGCAAACATGGGCATGTGTCTGTGCACGCAGATGTGGATGCGACGCGGTGCATGGTGCGTGAGTGCACACGAGCACGTGCACACACGCACGTGAGTCCTGCTCAGGACACAGCTGGATTCCGGCCGACGCTGGGCAGCGGGGGCCTCGAGGCTCCTGGAGGGGCGGGGAAGTAACAGGCCTGAGGTCACAACAGGGAACGGGGCCATCCCCTGTCCCGAGTGCATCAGTCACATGTCCTAAGGACGCTGTCCTGCAGGGTGTGCAACGAGTGTGGGAACCTCGGGCCGTGACGGCGGGAAGGATGTCAGACACACCGGCCTCTCTCCGCTCCAACTTTCTCTGCCACCACCGGTCCGTGATTCTAAATTAATTGATTTTTTCACGGTTTCTTCTGTTTTAAAAAACAAGGTGAAACGCACATAAAATTAACCACTTAGTACTCAACAATGCAGCGGCATTTAGCACATCCACAGTGTTGTGCACCCACCAGCTCTGTCTCGTTCCGGAACATTCCCATCACCTGCCCCCAAAAGAAACTGTGTACCCGGTAGTGGTCACTCCCCACCCACTGTGCTCTCGGTGTCCGCGGGCTTGCCTGCTCCGGACGTGTCCCGTCAGTGGAGTCACGCCGTGTGGCCTGTTCCCTGGCTTTCCCCACTGAGCGGCCCGCGTACGAGGTCGGTGTTGTGGGATACGTCCGTGCCTCTTTCCCGCGACGTTCTGTGTGTGGACGGGGTACTTTATCTGTCTGTCCGTCTGGGGATGGACCTGCGGGTTGCCTCTCCTTTTTGCTGTTGTGCTGCCGCGACGCGGGGCCGAGTCTGACACCTGCCTCCGTTCCCGTAGGGTCCGCGCCCACGGGTGGAGAGGGGCCGCCTTCAGGACGCCCTCGGGACCTTGGAGGAACCCTCGTGTCGCTTCCGGACCGAATGCCGTGTGGCTGGCTGGAGGCCGGCGGTGCCCCTCGACAGGGGTCCGGCGAGCGAGCCTCTGGGAGCCGCCCCCAGGCTTCGGGCCCTGGAGCCGCCGGATCTGCTGCTCCCTCAGGGAGCGGAGGCTGACCGTTCGTTCAAGCCTCTGCCGAGAGAGGCCTTCGTACATGTGCTCTGCAAGGCCGAGATCTTACCATAAAGTGGGGCCAGAGTGCCCTTCTCAGACCCCTGGATGAGCGTTGGGCGGGGCGCGTGGGGGACTCGGGCCCTTTGGCCGGTCTTTCCGCCCGTGGAGGCTGGTGCTCCCGGCCCACCCTCTTGGCTTCTTTGTCTGTTACGTTGGGCTGGGCGTCGAGTGGCTGCGCCGTGGGGGGCCCGGCAAAGGCGGGAGACCGCGGGGCGGTGGGAGTGAGGAAGCGGGGGTGCCTGGTGGAATCTGGGGAGGGAGGGCGGGTGCGGCACGCTGCCCGCCTGCTCGCCCGGGGCCCTGTCTGCTGGGGGACGGGCCGCCGGGCCTCGCAGGGCGGCCTCGGGCTCCTTTACCGAGGCCACGTTCACCTGGCACAGAATAACCATGTTGAGGGGAGCAACTCGGTGGCGTTTAGGGCATTCACGAGCTCGTGTGACATCGCCTCTCTCTGGGCCCAGGACATTTTGCTGTCCCCAAATGAAACCCCAGGTCAGTTGGCACTGGCTCCGGTGCCCACCGCCTACTCCCCGCGTCTGTGGCTTGGACCCCTCCAGGGACCTCCCAGAAGGGGAACCACAGCATGTTCCTGTCGCGGCGGCTTTCCGCGGGCGCGACGTCCTCCGGGTGCGTCCGTGTCGGAGCGCGCGTCAGAATCCCCTTCCTGTCTGAGGCAGGGTGGTATTCCATCCTGTGGACGGGCCCCATGTTGCCCACCCTCCTCTGTGGGCGGACTCTGCCCTGCTGTGGACACTGCGGCACAGGTCCTCGTGTGCGGGGGTGGTCGCGGGGCGGCTCCGCGGATCGGTCTGTGGGGCGGGTTGGGTCTGCGTGGTTCCCTGCGTCTCCTCCTGGGGCCCCTCCGGGAGATGCAGGCGTCTGCCCCCGCCTGGCCCTGCTTTCCACGAGCCGCCTGCAGGGAGGCCGCGAGCAGAGCCACGCGTCTGCGCACAGGCTGCGTTGGGGCCGCCGCTCTGCGCCTGCGGATCAAAAAAGTTGTTCCCGGACCTCGGCTTTCAAGACAGCTGCAGGATGTTCCTCGGAAGAGGCCTGTGGGATGATAAAAAGTCGACATTTGATCTTTGTCCCCAGGCACTGGCCCCTGGGGCGGGGGAGGCTCTTTGGCTTGCTGCTGAGACGCCTGGGGGCTGCTCCCAGAGAGACCAGTGGAGGAGCAAAGTGATGGGGATTGACGCCCAGCCTCCAGTGACGCGATCAATCGCGCTTCTGTAATGAAACCACCAGAACAGCCCCTGGGCTCCTGGGGAGAAGGGACCCACGGAGGTGCCGGGAGGGTGGTGCCTGCCACCCCCCCCCCCCCCCGCGTCTCCCCGCCCCCTCCCCCCCCCAGGGCCTGGAGGCTCCGAGCCCCTTCCCCACCCCTTGCCCTGTGTGTCTCTTCCATCCCTTTTCCGGAGTCTTATCCTTCATAAGAAACCCCCAAACTCTCCGGGTGACCTGATTACTGTGGCACCTGACATGGGGGAGTCTCGAGGGCCCCTCAGCCCGGAGGGTGTGCACTGATGTTGGCGGTTGGTATCGGGATTGACTTCAGTCGCAGGACCCCCGGCTGGTGTCCGGAGAGTGGCAGACTCGGCTGATGTCAGGAGAAAAGCGCACACGTTGTGTTGGTCGTGCCCCGAGTGACAGCAGCTCAGTAGCCTCCTTTCTGACGTGGGAGGTTCTCGGGTGGGAGGAGGCGGAAGTTTGGAGCCTCCTGTGGAACTGGACAGTCCTGCGCCCATGGCCCCACCACCCCTTGTCCACCTCCCACACAGCGCGGGCGTTCCCCGTGTCCTAGATCACCAGGGCCAGGGACTGGGCAGCAGCGGGCGGTCGTGCCCAAGCCCGTTCGAATCTCAAGCCTGCAGCCTGCCGCCCCAACTCAGGCCTCTGCCCCCAACACTCTGGTGCTTCCTGTGCCCTGTGTCCGTGGGCCCTTCTCTGCCACCCGTGGGCGTAATAAGCTGTCTTTGCCCGGAGCCTCGAACGGGAAGCTACTCCCACGTCTGCGATGCACTAGGCCAGCAGGGCTGGCCGGGGCTCACTAGGGTGGGACGTGGTCACCTTTGGGTGTGGCCCCTGCCCCAAGGCTGAGCCCGGGGTCCTGGGAGCCTCCGCCTGGGCTCTGAGGTGCTGCTGATTCAGTGCATTTCAGTTAGGCAGGAAGTTCCTGAGAGGAAAACCACAAGCTTTATGTTTATTTAATTCCAGCCATTCTGTGGTTTTTGGAGATGGCCTTTAAAGATTTGTTTTTGATTTTTATCTCAAAGAGAATGCAGAAAAGCCCATGGGTCGGGCTCCAGAGAAAATACACACAAAGAAGAGAAGTGAATTTGGATCTCACCAGGCAGCTTTCGGGTAAGCAAGTGGCAGGATGGGGCTGGGGTACGTCCCCTCAGGGTAGCAGCCCTGCGTGGCCTGCACATGTGGGTCATGGAGACACGCTCCCTGGAATCCAAACGGCCTTGCGTTCAGGCCCACGGGCAGCCTGCGCTGGAGCTTGGGCTCTGGGGAGGCCTCCCTTCACGGACCCAGGCTACCTTTTTCACCCCTCTGGCCACAACAAGGGGCCAGGCCTCGGGGGTCCTGTCCTGCACCACCGGAACCAGTGGGGTAGGAAGAGGCCCCTGGAAACACCATGATAGGTGCCCATCTTGGCTGGGGGAAGGGTGGGGGGTGCCCCGGGACAGTGGCACCGTCAGCCCAGAACCCCTGCCATGTGCCCACCTTGGTCCCTCTCGGCTCTGTGTGCTCTGAGTTCCCCGCCAGCGCCTTGCACGGGGTGGCCCGCCTCCTGATGCTCCCCACGCAGACCTGTCTGAGGTCAACGCTCTTGCCTGGAGCAGCAAAGTCATTGGGAGTCTTTCCTCCGGGTCAGGACCCCCTCCTGGAATCTGAGGTCATTCTCTGTGCCAAGGGAGGGTCACTAAATTCTTAGGAAAACTCCAAAGCAGAATCAACAGAAAAGTTCATCCACGCTGTAGGGTCCTTTGGGGAAGGGGATCAGCTCTGTGACACCCACGAGCTGCCACGTGTGGACCCTGTGCAAGCTGGGGCGTTCATGGAGTGGGCTCTGGGCCAAGAGGTTGACGCTGCTGCACCTCATTTATTTCTGGAGAGCTCAGGCTCTGCCCAGTGGGTCCCCGGATTTGAGTCGGCCTGATGTCACCACGCTACAGGAGGCAGTGTGTGCGTGTGTGTGTGTGTGTGTGAGTGTGCGTGTGTGTGTGTGTGTGTGCGCGTGCAGGAGTGGGCCTGGCATGTGCCATGGGGGAGGGCGTGATTCCCCCTTGCTCTGTCAGCAAGGAACCGTCCGGGCCCCTTCTCCCCTGGTAGCCTGGAAACTGCCAGTGCCCTGCTTCCCATCAAACTCTCTTCGTTCATTTATGTGATTTCCTCGTACTTTCAGGCTCCGGCTGCCTGGGCCATGGCCAGTGGGAGCCTGTCCTGGGGGCGTCCTTCCTTGTTGTCCGGGACTCCGGTGTTGAGATCCTCCGCCCGTCCCCTCTGTCCTGGTGCCTCTGGCAGACGCGGATTTGAGAAAGTACACGCTTCCGTGGGTGCCTACGTCTACCACCGCTCCCACCAGAGCCATGAGTTCGCTGATGCCTCGGCTCCACCGCGTCCACAGGCTCGTTTGGGTTTTCCGTGTCGGAGCCTGTGGCTCCTGTCTCCACAGCGCGGATCCCCCCTGTGCTGCTCAGAGCCCTGCTGCCACGATGCCCGTGTGACTGCCAGTCCGGGGGCGGGGGCGGGGGGACCTCGTGCCCACCCTCTGTGGCTTTAGGGTTGCTCCTTCTGGGAAGGGCAGAGCGGTCTGCCCTGGCCTCCGCTCAGGGCCAGCAGGGAGGTGGAGGGGAGCCTGGTTCCACCACCAGCTCTGGGTATGGTCGTGTCCACCCACATCCCCTCGGGACGGGGGCTGAGACGCCGGCTGTCCCGTTGGAGCCGGGTCGCGGCTGTGAAGACGCAGTGGGGCGCCTGGTGAGCCCTTGTGGCTGGGGTGCTGCGTGTGTTCACGTCTAGGACCGCAGAATGAGCGGCGTTCGCCTGGGCGTCGGCTTCCGCTCCTGCAGCTGCGTGATGCCCACCCCGAGGCCGCCGGCCTGCACACCCGTGAGACCCTCGGGCTGACACGGCTACTCCTGCTCCGCTGTGCCGGCAGCCACTGCGGCCACTGGGACGCGTGCCGGTCACTGTCCTCTGCTCTCTGGTCACCACACGCCCCGTCCCCGGTGCTGTGGGTGGCGGACCCGCATCTGTAGCTCCTCTGAGCTTCTGGTGCCTCCTGCGCATTTCCTTCGTGGAGCCTCCTGTGTGTCCTGGCGACCGGTGGAAATCGTGTTTGCGCCGAACAAGCCAGAGGTGGTTTCTTGCTACAGCAGGGGGGACCCGTTCCACATCCTGTGACAGGGACGGAGGAGGGGGTGTCCCTGGCCAATGGAGGGCTCGTGGACGCTGGGCCCACCGTGGACTCAGGAATTTCTGTTTGTCCTTAGGGTCTTATTACCTTCCTGGGGCTGCCCTAACGAAGCCACAGACTCAGGGCTCAAACCGCAGGCATCCCTCTCAGCCTGCAGGCCGTAAGCCCTAAACTGAGGTGTCGCGGGGCCGTGCTGCCTTTGGGGGGGCACCCTGTGCATCTTCCAGCCTCTGGTGGTGCCAGACATACTCGCCGTCCCTTGGTTGGTGGATGCGTCACCCCCTCTCTGCCTCCAGGGGCACACGGCGTTGCTCTCTTGTTGGGATGGGACTCACCGACTCCAGCTGGTCACCGACTCCCTCTTACTGATGGTGCCTGCAGTGGCCCTGTTTCCAAGTAAGGCCCCGTGCTGCGATCCCCGGGGTCAGGACTGAGGCATATCATTTCGTGGGAGGGTTCAACCTAGTGCAGGTCCCAGCTGTGCCCTCTTCCGTTTGACAGTATTGAAAGACCATTTATATTAAAAAAATTAGCTTTGAGAGAAACGCACAGAAATGTGGCTTTTCCCAAGCTCAGTGCCACCAGCTCCAGCCTAGTGGTGGTGGGTCGCGAGGCCGGGCATCCCGGGGATGCTGTACGCGTGCAGAGGCCCCGTGCGTCATCTGTCCTCCTCCCTCAGCCCCAGGACGCCGTGGGGATTGCACAGCATCGGTGTGTCCGGAGCTGCTGGGCTCTTCTCCGTGGCTGCGTGAGAAGCCGTCGGGAGACTTTCAGGATGTAATCACAAAGGCCGGAACGAGGAGAAGGCACCCTCACAGACCAAGCGTGATCTGAGCTCAGCACCTGGGCCCAGGACATGGGAGTTCGTACATTATGTTTTGATTTTGAATTCATCTCACTTTTCGAGAAAAGTTGTGAAAAACGGTACAGCGGGTCCCTGTGTTCTTTTCTGGCAGGTCGCCCAAACGTTCACGTGTTCCTGCGTTTGCTTTCTCCTTCTCACACCTGAATCTGCAGAGTGGAATATGTCGGGCTGTGTTCCCCACACCAGGCTGTGCTGCCGCCGGGGCGGCCGTTCGTGTTGCTGCAACAATACGTGGTCTCTATTCTGCAGTCTGCATTCACAGGTCTTCAGTTCTCTGTCTCGGGAAGGACTCCCACTTCTCCTGGGGGCCTTTCCGAGTACCTCACCTTCTTGCTTGCCATCGTTGCCGGGGTCCCTCTGCCATTCCATCCTCCAACTGGTGACTTGGTGCAGCTATGAGGACCTTTGGTTTTTGTGTGTTCGTTTTAGCCTTACTGAGTTCGTTTATCCTTTGAGTCTGTTTCCTCCCTGTTGATGGCCTGGTGCCACGCTCGCTGCCCGGTCGGGAGTCCCATGTGGCTAAGCTCGCGTGTACAGATGAGATGAAATGAGACCGAAGGCTCACGATGCCGCCACATTCGCCCCATTTCCAGTGCTTGGCGGCCGCACGGCCTTGGCGGGTTTCCGACACTGAGCTTGTGGGACATCCCTTCATCGTGAAAAGTTTACTGCATATTACTGTTCCAGTGTTTTCCGGGTACATCAGTGTAGCCTTTGCAAATGGACACAGCTGGCTTTGGGCTCTGTTCTCGGGTCCCTGACGGGTTCCCCGTGTCTGACTGCAGCGGCTGAGGCCTCCAGGGCCGGGCTGGCGGGCGGTGAAGGCAAGCATAGTCCTCATCTTGCCCCTAATGACACCAGCGTCTGCTTCAGTGAGGTGGAGACTTTAGAAAAGGCTACGTTGCTATGTTAAGAAAGCGGCTGTCACTTCCTATTTTCCCTACTGTTTGTACTTTTATCAGGAGTGGGTGTTAAATTTTGCCAGAGGCTTTTTGTGCACCTATGGGGGGAAAGCATGTGATTTTTCTCTTCGGGTCTGTCAAGAGTGACTTTCACAAATGGATTTCCCAGCAACCAGGCGGCCGTGGCATCTGGGCGTCAGTCCCGCACGTGGTCACCATGTCTGTCTTCCCATTGCACCTTCCAGTAGGGTCTGGGGGTCAGAGTTCCTGTTGCAGTGGGGCTCTGCCGGCTGGCCTTCCAGGAGGGGGCTGGGGTCAGCACTCGCTGGCGGGGGGCTCCACCGGCGGGCACAGTTTAGCGTGTGCCCCTCCGATTCAGGGCGCCGGAACAACTGGGCAAGCTGTGACCATCTGGTCCCTAGCCATGTGGTGGAGTTCATCTGTGGAGTCATTAGGGCCCGTTTTTGTTGGGGGCTGCGGTTCGCTGGAGGCTTTTTTCTCCCGTGGAATCGGTGTGGTTAGGGTCCCGCCCCCCACTGTAGCCGCTTCATCTGGAAATTCGCATTTATTGTGCTCCGCAAGAAATGTCACTACGGCATAGTTATTCTATGTCATTTATTCCTAGCGGGGCCAGAACTCGAGCCTCCTCTGCCACCCGGCGCCCGGCGCTTCCTGGGCCCTTGTGGGTGGGCGAGAGGCAGACTCCGCCTGCAGTCTGCACAGGCCGAGCCGAGCAACCGCGGCTCGAGAGGCACACGGGGTTCGCGGGGAGACCAGCTCGGCTCTGCTCGCTCTCCACTCGGCCTCGTGCCGGGCAGGGTGGCCTCGGGAACGCGGGTGGCCGCAGCGGAGCTTCCTGGGGAGGGGAGACGGCTGTGCCCAGGCACAGCCACAGGCCACTGCCACCGACAGCGCATCTCTCGCGGCCGCACGGCGCTGCCTGCTGGAGGTTGTGCGCAGGCGCAGCTGCAGGCTCCCGCTGTTGGCTGCGAGTCTCCTCCGTTGCGCAGCCGCACTGTCCGCACGCCGCCGCCTGCTCGAGGCCGTGCGCAGGCGCAGCTGCAGGCCTTGCAGTTGGCCTCGCGTCTCCTCCGTCGCGCAGCCGCACTGTGCGCACGCTGCCGCCTGCTCCAGGCTGTGCGCAGGCGCAGCGTTGGCGGTCTGGCAGCAGGAGGCGTGGAGTCGGCTCAGATGGCGCCTCCTTGGCTCCTGAGCAGAAGCCGGGGGCCCACGGCGGAAACTCGCGGACTCTACGCTGCCGGGCGTCGGGCCGTCTCTCCGAGAAGAGGAGCGTGAGTAGGGGTCCGCCGGGAAGGGCAGCGTGTCCTAGAGCCCCGTGAGCGGGGATGAGGCAGGTGGGGCGGCCGGGCGGGGCAGCTGGAGCCCTGGCTGGGGACATGCTTTGGGGTGGGATCCGCGGCAAGTGCTGGGGAAGGCTGTGAGGACGGTGGGGGACTGGCGAGGCGGGCTGGTGCGTCAGGCGTTTGGACCGGATGTGGAGGGATCGCCGGGCAGCTGGACACGCTGGGGAGGGAGGGGGCTGAGTGGGGGGCTCATGCGGGCTCAATCAGGCCCTGGCCAGTGGAGTCTGGAACCTGGCAGGGCAGGCGTTCCTCTGTTGTGGGCCTTGGACGTAATCTGTGGTGGAAGTTGCTGGTGCGGGCTCCTAGCAGGCGCCGTGATCAGCAGGAGTGGGAGCGGGGTGGTAGCTTGACTCAGTCACCCGAGGACGCCCCAGGTGGAGGACGGGCTGGTGCCCCGAGGATGCCTGCAGGGTCTCACACGCCCTTCCTGCACGCCCCAAGTGGGCCAGCATCTGCCCCTTCCCAGTGGTGGCCACACACCGGCTTTTGGGCTGGCCCGGGTCACCTTCCTGTTCTGGAGCCGTCTGGACAGGACACAGACCCCAGGGACATGGGTCCCCTTTGTTATGAGGGGCCCGTCGGCCCTGGAGGGGGCTCTACAGAGTCTCTGCTTCATGCATCCCCCTCTCACAGCCAGGGACGGGGGACGACTTCAGGGGAGCAGATGTTTGGGTCACAGTTGGAAAATAGAGCTGAGAACACAGGTGGGTTCCTTCTCTCCAGACTCACATCCATGTGATTTCCATGGTTTTTGCCCTTTGTCTTTTTTCACTGTCAGAGGCCGAGAGGCACCGTGAGCATGCAGGTAAGCCCAGGACACGGGGCTGTCCCCACCCAGAACCCTGTGGTTCCAACCTGAGGAACAGGGCTGCTCTGGCCCCGTGACCGTGTGGACATGCCACCCTCTCTGAAGTGTCTGTAGGCTTTGGTCAGGGTCGGATACAGTTCCTCCCCTGTCCCTGGGGTTCCTGACCTCCTCACCCTAGCGCGGGTTGCTTTTGCCTTGATAGTTAAAAGGACACAAGAAAACAAACCCAGACCGAACCAAACAAAAAAGCTCACTAGAAATTAAGGAAATGAATAAATATTGAAAGCAAGGCCTGAGGAGATGGTGTAGAGCTTGCAGGTTTAAAGCGTGCTGCTGGCTTTCTTCAAGTGACGGCCCCAAGGGGAGATGTCACCGCTGTGGTGTCCACCCTGGCGTTCGAGCCAGTGGTCGGAGAGTCTCTGACAAGATGCTAACAGCCGGCTCTTGTTGCATGACCTGGCCCTGGACGTGACAGGTGACTTTCAGGACAGAGTGGGGATGTCTGTGGGGACTTGAACACACCCCTCCAACACGCCGAACAAGTAGAGCAAAAGTAGGGAAAAATACAGAAAATCAGAGTACCGTTGTTGATAAAATGAATTTTATTTATATTTCTGGATTATTTGTATCCTAGAGATAGGCAATTATAAACATGTGCACCATTATTAGGGATTTAATAATATAGTTTTATATCTGAGAGTCGGTACTATTTATTTATGAGTTGATGCTGGAAAGTATTTAATTTTCCACACCAGTTTAGGACAAAAACCCTCAGAAAATTAGGAATACGGCACGTCATTTCTTGAACTTGAAAGAGAGTGTGCAGCACAGATGCACGGCGCTGTGGAGGACGACTTCCTGACCTCTTTGCTGTGAGTTAGGAATGAGGCCAAGCTGCCCGCAGGCCTTACGCCGACTTAGAGAAGGTCACAAGGGGGTGTGGTGAAAACCGCATACTGACCGTCACCGGATCAGATGTATAGATTCCTGGAAAGACAGAAGCCACCAAAACTGAGTCGAGCAGAAACAGGCACTCTGAACAGGTCTGTAAGGAAGAGATGAAATTCGTAATGTAACTTCCGGCAGAGGAGCCCAGGCGGCTCCTCCGAAGCCTGTAGGGTTGTCAGCTGGGAGCTGGGAGCCGCAGGGGGACGCCTGCGGCCTGGGCGCCAGTTCCTGGGGAGGCCCCGCCCAGAGCCTGGCAGGCCTGTGGGGGAGGGGCAAGGTCTGGTCCCATTCTCGCCTTCTCAGAGACCAGAGTCACCTCGAAGCGTCAGAGTTTTGGTGGAGGGACTCACGGGGAGGCATCCGGCCCAGGTCCTTTCGGCCATAAGCCGGGGAGGCATGCACCAGCTTCCTTCCTGCCTCTAGCTGTCATCGCCGATGGGCCTCACAAGTCATGCTCATGTGGGGACGCCCCTCTGGGGCTCCTCAAGCCGAGAGCTGCCAGGAGGGCAGTGTGGGGCAGGCCTCACCCAGGCTGACACTGGATCCAGCATGTTCCCAAACTTGGGGTAGGAGGGGGGCCCACCAGGAGATCTGTGAGGGTCAGAGGCCCTTCCCCTCTGGCGTGTGTGAGCCCCCGACGTGGGCCGTCACCGAAGGCTGCGAAGGGGGAGCGGGGTTGCCAGGGACTGGCCTGGGAGGCGCACACCAGGCTGCATGAGTGTGTGGAGGCTGGCAGTGCCTTCCTGGGGGCGGGCTGGATGGTGCCCCCCGAAGGTGTGTCCCTAGTTCCTCTGAACGTGACCTTGTTTGGAGATAGAGTCTTTTCAGATGGAATTGAGTTAAGGTGAGGGGCTGGGCTACAGTGTGGGCATCCTCAGGGGGCTTAGAGGGACCTGGGCCGTGGCTTCCGTACTGATGAGACGGAGGGCCACAGACACGCCGAGGCCCCCTACGCTTCCGTTTGTGAAACAGAGTGTGACTGCACACGGCTTGTGGGTTCCGACAAAAGGGCCCGTCAGTAACCCATGCCCCTGCCCCCTCCATTGCCCTGGAAGCTCCTTGTGCTCCCTCAGGTCTGTCCATCTGTCCAGAAGGGCCCCACCTGTCCCAAAACTGCGCGTGAAGTGCGGCCGGTCTGTACGTGGCCTCATGTGTCCGGTTTCTTTCACTCAGTGTAATTCCTCTCTCTCTCCTTCCCTCCCTGCGTGGCTCTGGAGGGCAGTGGCGGGACAGGCGTCCTTGTCTTGTGCCCAAGCTGCTGGGAGGCACCGCAGCAGTGGTGGGGTAGAGCTCATCAGTAGGCCGAGGAGGTTCCTCTTTGTTGCTAATTTGCTGAGAGGTAAAACAAATTTTTTTGGTCACGAATACATGTTGGATTTTGTCTAGTATTCTTTCCGCATCTATCGATCGTGTGTTTTTTTTTTAGTCTTTTAATTGATTTTCCATTGTTTTTGATAACGTTTACTTTTGAGAGAGAGAGACAGACAGACAGACCAGAGTGCAAGTGGGGAGGGGCAGAGAGAGAGAGGGAGACACAGAACCCGAAGCAGGCTCCAGGCTTCGAGCTGTCAGCACAGAGCCCGACGTGGGGCTCGAACCCAGGAACCGTGAGATCATGACCTGAGCCGAAGTCGGACGCTTAACTGAAGTTGGAGGCTCAACCGACGGAGCCACCCAGGCGCCTTGATTTTCCATTTTCAAACTACTCTTGCATTTCTGCGGTGAACCCCACTTGGTCACGGCACGTGATTCTGCGTTTACGTGTCTACAGCTGGTGCATCGGCTGGTATGTTGTTAAGGACTTTTCTACGTTCGTGAGATATGTCGGTCTTTGGTTTTTTTGTGTTGTCTTTCCTGGGTTTGGTTTGGTAATGCTGGCCTGATAAAATGAACTGGGAAGTGTTCCCTTGTTTTGTACTTTCTAGAAGAGATTGGGTCGAATTGGTGTTTTTTTCTTTAAATGTTGGGCAGAATTCACCAGTTAAACCACTTGGACCTGGGCATTTATATTTTAACTGCAAATCGAATGTCTTTATCAGTTACATATTATTGAATATCTAGTAACACGTGGATGAGTTTGGCGTTTTGTGGATTTGAGGGATTGGTCCGTTCCATCTAAGTTATCAAAGTTTCTGCTTCTCACTTTCGGTAGCTCAGGTGTAGCCCAAGGTCAAGGGTGAGTCCCGACAAGGCTGAGGGGCAGCTGTTCCCCCAGGGCTGACCAGAGCAGTTAGAGGAAGCGTGGGCCGATGGGGCTGCCCTGTTGCGCCCACATCACGGCTGGGATGGTGGCTGTGCTGGTGTCCTGAGGCTGCTGGAACTATTTACCACGAACTAGGCAGCTGAGGACACCAGGAGCTTGTTTCGTCAGAGTCCTGGAGGCCGGAGTTTGAGATGAAGACCCTCGTGGGGTCGTGCTCTCTCCAGAGGCTCCAGAGGAGGCTCTTTCCTGCCTCTGGGGGCTCCGGGCATCCCTTGGGTTGTGGCCGCATCCCTGCAGGCTCTGCCTCTGTATTCATGTGGTCTCTCCTGTGTGTCTCTTGTAAGGATGGTTGTCACTGGATTCAGGATCTGTCCCGGTAAGCCAAGACGATCTCCTCTTGAGACCTTTAATGACAACAGCAAAGATCCTAAGTAAGGTCCCATCCCTAGGGATGGGACTTGCCCCTTGCCCATTGGGGGCCGTGTTTACTCTGCGCCCCCGTCGCCGGGCTTTCTCACCCTCCTGCCTCCCCGCCAGCCTGTTCTGGGAGACCACCCTCGTTTAGATCTTGCTGCCGAGCCGAGCTGCTCTTGGAACCCGAGCCAGAGACCCCAGTCCTAAAAAGGTGTGTCCCACTGAGTCCGGGGACCTGGCATCTTCTGTGTTGCATGTGGCTGTCCCTCCTGCACTGGCAGCTGTCTTGCCCCGGCCATTCGGGTGTGGCTGGGCTAGGGG